CTATGGTGATGGCAAACCTGTGGGGATTTCAGTTGAGATGAAAAAAAAATGTACAAAGTGATGTAAAAATAAACTTTATAAAAGAAAAATCTAATCAGCAGTAATTGTAGGTGAAAAGGATTGTGGTTTTGAGTTCATGTAGTTTATATTTACCTTCACGTCGAAGAATAAAAGTAAACTTGAAATGTTTCTCTACACCAATTCACTGCCCTCTGAGAAAACTTATTGCTGAAAATGTGTAAGATACAGCAAGTTCACACTTAATGTTAAGAGTGAGTATATATGAGGATGATTTATTAATTAATGATTTATTGTCCATATATCAATAGCTATTTCATAGTGAAATCAAGCAGCAATCAGGACATAATGCACATGACAATATACGACTGCAGGAACCTAGGGAAATGATCTATTTTGTGTGCTGCACAAGCTGCTGTAATAAACACAACCGTATATGTACTGACTTAGTTAAGATATACACACTGTCTTTTTCTGTGCATATTAACCAGAATGAAAACATCAGGGTCAGTAGAGAAGCCAGGGTTTCTATAGCTAAGAAGTGATGACAGTCACAATAACCAGAGTGTAACAGGCAAGCAAGCAGCTCACTTTTAAGAAGGACTATAGAAGGTGCACATACTTCCATTGTCATTCGTTGGCAGGAACTTGACCTCAATCTCAGTTATAATTGTGGAAGTTCATTTTTTTCTGTAATAAGAGAATTGAAGTGACCAGTGAGGTCTTGTCAAGAATAGGTGATGATTGGGATTTTTAAAGGTAACCTCTAAGTACAAGTTACGTACTTTTTTTTTGTCCATAAAATGATAGGTTGTAGGCACTTAACTTGCTATGTTATAGGAAGATTTACAGATTCCTACAGTAGTGACTGTTGGAATCTCCCTTGCATCCAAACATTTTGCACTGAGAACATCAAGGTGTAAAGCGGGCCAGTGTAGGTTCTTTAGTCAACAAACCCACCGAGGCTTCCAATGAACTGCCAGCATACATTCACACTATATATGCTTTCCACTTTAGACCTTCTACCAGTCAAGTCGCTGGGTATCCTCAGGCCCCATCTCACTGGAAGTACATGAAAATGTGAAGACACAGCCACCCAGGTGTGTACCATGAGAAATACTAAGTTCTAACCTTCTGTGTTTCAGGACCTCCCTGATGGCACTGTGGGATGGAGCGCTGCAGAGTGAAGCTGAGCACTGCCAGCTTCAGTGAGTTCAGTCCCCGCCTGGGAGGTGACCCCGTGGTGCAGTAGCTCCCTCCTGCTCATCTGCTGCTGCTTGCTGCTCCCTTTGGCGGCAGCTGTAC